ACCTGCTAATACAATTAAAGATATATTTTTAAAACTACTAGTAACGGTTTTTAATTAAAGGGCTACCCCTCTTGGCCAACGCTGCCAACGCCCATACTTAAGAAACGTCCCCCAGCCTTCAGGTAGTGATTTAAAACATTCTCTATTCAATTTAGATATTTCAAAATATAAACATATTTTCAACATACTTGTGTTATTTATGTAGGCCTAGTAGTCTACGTGTTGCATTAAAAAAAACAACTGGCGTCCACAAAAGTCTAGAGCTCAACACTAGCCAACCTTTTTGAAAAAAAAAAGTCTGCAAGAGAAAATTCTAAATGTCAGCAAAATTGCGAAAGTACACGTAATCTAAAACAACGTGAGCTTCATCTTTAAAACCTTATCAGATGCACTTAAAACATAGCTACACTCAGACTACCCCTATCAAAGGTGTACCTCAAGATATAAACACAATCTAGTTTAAAACAAAACCTTTTCTGAAACGAATGCTATACAATTATTCCCACTTCAAGTTAACAACCTCATAACTTGACATTATTCAAGAATTACCCCAAGTGCAATATCAAGGCCTACAACTACAGCAAAAATTTCGAAACACACCATTTTCAGTTAGACAGCTTCAAAATCCATAAATTTATTTCCATTTTAGCTTTAAATCTGTCCAATGCGAATCTCCTTATTTAAAAGCGTGCATGTAACGCTGTTATGCCACATTTTATTCCATTATTTGATTATACATTAGCTGCTGTTAAAAATTCTGTTTAAAAGTTTTGTTGTATATTTTTCGTTCTGGAAACCATTTTTTTTTACGGTAATAATATTATCTTTTCCGGCAACACGCGTTAATTTCTATTATGTAAAAAATATCCTGGCTAGACGCCTAACGAACTCTGACCAATGATCTTGTGCTGACGATAGAATATTGAACTTAGCCTACACTGGCTTGATTATAGCTATTTTTAGATACCGTATTTGTCCATGTAAAGGATTTTAGTTTTTCTTGTTAGAGCTACAATAATGATTGTTTGGTTAACGTTTTATTATTCAAGTATGAATATTTAAAGTACCACAGAAATACGATTGGCCTATAAACGTTTATATTTGGAAAATCGGCAGAAGAAAATTCTGTGTTGTGTTATAAATAAAGCAATTATGCCTAATTATTATTAATTAGCAGAACAAGAAAACACCATTGTTGTATACTTTTAAAATGCATAGCACCAAACAAAGTTTCAAAAGCCTTGACTAACACGCATGTCTACCCAGTGGCGTCACTAGGTCGGGTGCGGCAACCCAGGGTGTCACCCCCTTCACTAAAGAGTACATATATGATTGTTGTATAATAAACAAAATTAAAGGCAATTTTGTGTCCCCTCCATCCCAGATGGTCACCCTTGCCTAATGATAACAATAACATTGATAATTTATTAAACTAACTTGAGAAAGCAGACCTTTTTTAAAGAAAGCTATATTTATTTTAGGTGCCCCCACCCCCTGCTTGTGATGTTACTATTACCAACATTTTCTAGGGTTTCCAAAAAAAACAACAAAAAACTAGTGGTACAATACCACACCCTATTTTCTAGTTAGCTGTGTTATTTTCTCAACCCAGTAGAGAATTTTAAGGACAATATTTAACAAAAAAGGGGGAGGGGTGGTTTATCATTATGCTAGAGATGGGAAGTAGAGTGGCATAAACCAATGTTATGAAATACTGCCTTTGATTTTCTTTCTTTCTTTATTGTTTTGCTATATTTCTGCCGGCATATATAACTTGGACAAATAGGTTGGCACACATGGCAAAGGACCAACCTAACTTAAAATAAAGGGGGATAAAGTTTGTTATAGCTTCTATTGAAGATGTAACAAGCTATTTCCTGTAAAATAATTTGACTCATACCTCAAAAAAATATCTGTAGCTGGCCCAAAAGTTATATTGTATTAAGCCAATACAATTTTCCCATAATGAAAGGTGTTCTATTACATACATAGGTCATGGTTCTTGGAAATGTTTTAGTTATATTTATATTGAGTCAGAGTGGGTGAAAATATCCAACTTTAGGTGAAATGACATTGCATGATCAATAAGGGTGTTTGTAGAGCCATATCAGGTTATATGTTCATATGTTGGTGCCTGTTGGTGATTGCGAGCCAGAAAAACAAAATATTTTAAGTTAAATATTAAATAAATTAAATATTTTACAATGTAAATTATTCATGCTCTTATGTCAATTACAAATACTGTTCACACTAAATTATTTACAACAGCATTATTAAATCGTCTCTCTCCCTATATTTATATGAATATGCATACATATATGTGTATGTCTCTATGTGTATATATATATATATATGCATACATACATATATTGCCTATCAATATATACATTAGCATATCATACAAATATGTAGGCCTATGAATGTATTTAATTAGTTTTAAAAAATGTACCTATACATAAATGTATAAATATTTCTACATACAGAGAGAAATGTGTGTAAACACCATTATGAATATAAACAGATGTATTACTACTTACCTAGACAATCTACTTACTTATCTGGTGCCGCACTATTCCATTCAGACAGCACCGGAGAGCCTGAGTTGTTCTGAAGGCTTATAAAAGAACACCGACTTCCATACTATATTTGAAATACAATCTCTGTTCCATTGTTGCTTAGCCTAACTGTTCATCTCAACAAAGCAATACAAGATTTGTATCTCAAAGTGTTTAACCTTCTGTGTTAAGTAATTACTCAAGGGATTCTGTGACTAAACTTGTGAGGTGTAGAGGGTGAAAGTGTTATGTGGATGTGTTTATGTGATGTTTGGCATGATCTATGTTAACACTATACATGTATGTGAAGCATCATGATGATGAATATCAACTGACAGTGTGATTTACGTAAATTTAAACCAACATGATTTTATTATATATAATGTGATAGAAATAGGTATGTCATTATCGTGCTTATTAAGCTTGACTTAAAGCATTGTCATATAGAATTCACATTAGAATCAACACAGGTTTGATATGCTAATGAAAAGTGCTGACATTTAATTAACTCAGAAAAATATTAATTTTTTTATTTTAAATTACTGTTTTAGAACCTCTGAATAAGGGCTAATGATTTTGTTTTGTCTGCCTAATTTTTAACAGAAATTAATAAGATGGACTATATAAACTATAGGCCTGAATTATAATATGTAGAATAAAAAGAGCTTCCTTTGTATGCCTTACTGTAAACAGTGATGAATAAAGTTGGACTATTATTATATGTGGAGAATAAAGGGAGATTCCTACGTATGTACGTACTCTGAAAAGTATGATCCACATAGATTTGTAGGTGATGGGTTGTTCAAAGAGTATGTCAAACTGTGCAATGCATTATTACTCTTTGCTTGACAATGTGTGATATCTAGACATGCAATAATGTAATATTTATATGGGCTTGTACAGTGTATAACTTTATGTGGGAGCAGAAATACTTCCTGTATTTAAAGGCCCAATGAAACTGAAAGTAATTTACATCTATAAATGTCAAATGTACTTTTATAACAATATTGAGAATTCAGACCAATACTTAACATTTTTAAAACCAGGCCTATATTAACAATTTTTTAAGTTTTAACAGAATTTTTATTATAAAATTTAATCAACTTAAACTAGTATTAAAGTGTACAAATAATATTCTCTAATTAATTAGGCATCATTATGTATGTACACTGTTACTTCAGGAGCAATATATTTATTCAACTTGTTATACATGCATGTTTGTTTTTGGTACCTTGGTATTACCCTGAGTATCTAGCATTAGTCCCATGGATTATATCTGTGTTAGTATTCTGGAGATTGTCCTATGGCGTTTACAAATAGAATTTATGTACAGACTGATTGTTTTCCATGAAGTTAAAAAAAATATCTTAAAAAAAAAAGCATTTGATTATTTGAATGTAACATGTACATATGCTGATCCAGTATGACTAGTTAATTTATTTAAGGTGAGTGTCTTCAAGTTCAGTATGGTATGTGGGCGTGTCTTCAAGTTCAGTATGGTAGGTGGGCGTGTCTTTAAGTACTGTGATGGCTGGCTTGTCAATAGTGAAATAAAACATGTGGACATCAATTTTCTTTTTGCATTTTTCTTGGCACTATATTTTCTAATAAAAAACATGGCATCATTGCACCAGATATATAGGCATACTGACAGCCTAAAAAAGTGAAAGACACGGTGGTGCGCATAATTAAAAATTTTCTTTTCAAAGACTTTTACTTGTTTGGTTGAAAATATAGAATGTACCACTAGTACCAGTGATCCCAAACAATACACGTGATCAACTAGCCAAAGGGCTTCTGTATTAGATAAGCTAACAATGTTATATTAACATATTATGTGACAAATGTTTTAAATGGCTGGAATTTGAAATATAACTATTAACATTTACAATGAACATAACTCTGATTTTAGTCAAAGACTGAAGCTTAGCATTAGTGGTGATCACTCCATAAAAATAAAATGAGAAAGAGCCTATTTATCAGTAAAACAAAGAAAGCAATAAACCCAATCAGGTTTACTTAAATATAATTTATAAAGGGAAACTACTAACTAAAAGTAACTAATTTTAAATTTGCAAAAAATACATTTGCTGTTAATGTAGTGTTTTGTAACATTTTTACCTAAAATAATACAACCATTATAGGAGATGAGATAATTTTTAATTTTATGTATATTAATCTTGTCCATTTATTATGTAGATGGTAAAATATGACAAGGGAATTTTTAGAATATAATTGCCTTAAATATAAATACAAAGACGCCCATACATCTTTTAACTTGTTACAATAATAGGTTTATTTACATAGCAGAATTTCACACAACAGAAAAATCAACTGTTGCTCTTCAAATATATTGCTAATTTAAACTCAGTAATTTCATTGTCACATTAACCAAACAATACTTAATGTCTGTTACATAGATTCTCTATTGAATAAATTAACACTGATCACAAGTAATTAAGTTTTCATAAATAAAGTGAAAAACCTACAGTAGAAAAATTAAACTTAAGTAATTTTGGGTTTTATAAAAACAGTGCTCGGCACACCAAAAAAGTAATTAAAAGGCTTTAAGAATTAAATGAGACCTACGCCTAAATTTTAATTTTCAACTAACAAAAGAGATAGTGAAGCTTAATTAATAAAGTAAATCCTGTACCAGAATGGTTACAGAAATTAGGAAAACAAATGTCCAATATCAGCATGGTTAACTACAAAAATAGACTAGCTGCATTTTTTGAATGCTACACCGGCATTGACTGTGTGTATAGAGGTGGAGAAGGACTTTAGCCTGACCTCCTCGGAGTTGTAGATGAGATGTGGTCCAGTTTCACTCCACTGGGCTGGGACCTCCAGGTCTTTGTCTGTGTACACCAGGATATCAAAGGAACCTGAAACCAACAAGTATCAAACATAAGCTCACATGTGACGGATTGTCCTATACTATTATAAACTTTCTAGGTAATCCAATAATGCTTTTCCTGATCTAACTTGCTATTTCCAGGCCTTCAATAAAAACACTTTGAAAACTATTGTCTTACACAGAACATTGACTAGGAATATACAACATAAACTGATTCTTCAGTCATTCTTGTCTATGGTCAAAATTATAACCAATGCTTCCTATAGTAACTTTGCTTGCAGACCAACTGTCTCCTCATATTACCGACTTCATCATTCTGCTCTCACCACGTCATATCACAACAAACAAATGAAAATAATCTCTAACCCTTTCTTACTGTCTTCTGTAATTATTATCAACCCCTAAAATGTTTGGTTATGTGTACATTAACAAATCTATACCATCTCACTACACATTAGCTCTTTCCTGATTAACTTACATGTGAATTATTTGCTTAGAAAATTGTAATATGTGGCTCAGGATTTTGACCTGATTAAAACTAACTGGCTCTACAAAAGTAGTGTACCACCTGAGTCAGATTTTAAATTTTAAGAGTTTTGTGATTGGCCAGACATGGTAAACACTAAACCATTAGTAGTACTAAAGTTGTAGCCACTAAGCATCATAGCCGTAAAAAAAAAAGGTTTTCATTTTAAACTATAACTAACCAACTATAACCATTTTAAGTAACTTACATGTAGATTCCAACAAAGGCAAAAAAGTTACAGACGCAGTTATCTGTCGAATCACAGCTCGGATGCCATCTTGAATTTCTTTGTGAGAGACCTCTCTTATACTGAAAATAAATAGAAAAGACCTTGTATAATGCAATAAATTTTTAAACTATTTAGCATTTTAAAAAGTGCTTTTAAAGACTTTGTGGCAAGAAATCAATAAAATATAACAATAAACCAGAAATAGAATTTACTTTAAACTATATTATAGCCAATAGTTCTTTTCAATTGTGAAGCACATAGTGCTAAAACAAGTACACCACAGAAAATATCACAGTCATGTCATTCAAAATCTTTCATAACCTGTTATTGCACTTACATGACATACATTCAAATCAAAACGTAAAGCAATATACTGAAACTTATATTGCTGCATCCAAATTTCCACTACAATTTCCAACAACCTAAACTATGTATTTTAATTAAGAAAAATATTTAAGAGATTAATTACGTGTTGTCTGTGACTGTTTTATCACACTGAATATCAAACTGCCATCTTTCAACAACTTCATTGTTGGAGATATCCTTGATGACAACCACTAACTTTGCTACGGTCATGTCTGTGAGCCAAGCTGAGGATAACACAGTTTTAAATAAAAGTAGATATTTTGTTGTCAGGTTAAAGAAACATATAATCTACAAGAGTACTCATCATCCTCATTCCTTTGTGGCCCCTGGGGAGCAAAGGGCTACAACTACACATTTCCAGAGGACACTTTTGGGCTGCTCCAAAAGTAGATGTTTTGTTGTCAGGTTAAAGAAACATATAATCTACAAGAATACTTATTATACTGAACTGATATATAGATGAAGAACCTTATAACTCATCTTATAGAGTACAATTGTAGGTGGGTGGTCTTCGGGAGAAAAGAACTATTATTTAGCACTGTCGTGTTTGGATAACCATGAGATATTTATCAACAAAGACTTGCTTTGCTTAGTTCAAGTCATGAGTTGCAGAGTATTAGCAACTTAAAAATCAGCAACTAAGTTATTGTGTCAGCCTGCCTAGCCTTTTTACTTTTATGATTCATCAACAGCTCTGGACCTGGTGTGGTAGGTAGGGTTTAGTATTGATAATTTTTAGAATTATTCTGCTATGTAATATAATACTAATCTATATATAAATTTGATATTGCTTCATCAACAAGGATCACTCACCTTTAACCTGTGCAAGGATCTGATCTAGAAAAGCCTGAAGCTCTTTATTACAAGTGACAAGCATGGTCAGCCCCCAGTGCTGCTTGTGAGTGAAAGTCTCAGGAGGGTACAGGCCTCGCTGATACAAAATACTGTTCAGGCCATAATCTAAGAAACAATTTCAAAACTATTTATGAAGCTGATACAAAATACTGTTCAGGCCATAATCTAAGAAACAATTTTAAAACTATTTATGAAGCTGATACAAAATACTGTTCAGGCCATAATCTAAGAAACAATTTTAAAACTATTTATGATGCAGATACAAAATACTGTTCAGGCCATAATCTAAGAAAGAATTTCAAAACTATTTATGAAGCACATTTTTTTGTTTGATCAAAATAGCTACTAACAAAAATATTAAAATACAACTCCAAATGGTGAAATTAACTTATCTGCATAAAAGAAATTAACTATACAAAAAATAATGTTAAAAATAATTTACAGTTTTAGGCCTATAGTTTTGTATAGCAGTGCACCTAGAAAGCATAGTGTGATTGATGTCTAACTTATAAGGTCCACTGATAAGATTCCATGTACATCCATTTCAAATTCAGAATCATTAAAATACACCAAAGTTGAGGCACAGACTGATTTAGAGACTGAAATTATTCAGTTAAAATAAATCTCTCCAACTCAGGATGTCAGAACAAACAAAAAATGTACAAATCTGGCAAGCTGACCAATAAAACTTCAGTTTCACAATAACCAGTTTTCTTCTTTAAATAGTTTCTTGTGTTCAACTGTCTCAACGTAATTGTTGTTTTTTTTAAATTTATTTAGGCTATAGGCTAAACTAATGAATCAATTTTAAAACTTTGTGTCAGTGTAAAAAATGCAAGACCTACATTACCTAGTTAAAAGTAGAATTTTCAACCTAAATTATTTTTTATTTGACTAGCATAATTCATTACTTAATTAAATTCCAAAGCCTAACAGTAATAAATGAGATTAAAATAATGATTGAGATTTTGTGAGACGTTTATATATACTGTAATGATCAGATTTTTTCTCCAGTAAGTAAAAATACATCATCATCCCTTAACCCTTATTGAGATCATTGAGCACCACAGTGGGCCTTAAAATTCTCTGCCACCCATCTCTGTCCTCTGCTGGTCTGGTAAGTTCTGGGACGAGAAGCACCGTCAAATCGTTGCCTTCCACGTCTTCCCTCTCCGGGCACAGTGCCTTGCAATATTGTTTTGGATGGGCAGATTTGATCTTGTGATATGCCCATACTATCTCGATTTTTTTGCTCTCAAAGGGACCAATCGCATAAGTGATCTTTTCCTGGACTTCTTCATTAGTTACACAATCTCTGTAGACATCTCATTTCCAGGGCCTGGATTCTTCTCTGGAGGTCTGCGTTGAAGGTCCATACCTCGCACCCACACAGGACAGTCACCACTAGTGACTGGATGAGTTTAATTTTTGTGCTAATAAAAGTGTTGCTGTCTCGCAAAATGTTTCAGAGTTTACTGAGTGTTGTTTAAAAACAAAGCATATTTATTTGAATAGGGACTCCATACAACTGAAAAAAATATTTATAGACCAGGTAATAGAATGTTAGCATACAATTTACTATTCCACTGCAATTTGCAATAAATGGATTTTGTATAGCTTTAGCTTTAATTAAGCCTTTGAATACTTTGATCTAATGACTTTTCTTGTCCACCTAGGTATCGTATGTATTATTTATGTTTTGCCTTTGGTGGTGTCAATGTCAGCCTTTTTCTGCTTTTAGTTTTGATCCCATGCTTAGTGATGTAGCAGTCATCATACATGTGGGCATCGGTTACTAATGGGTGTTGGTATAGTATAATCAAGTATAATGCAAAATGTGAAACAGCATAGAAAGGAGTATGGATTTTGGAAACTGACATTTTTCTCTCCCGAAGCTCTCAACACATTAGTATTCTAAGTATTGGTTAAGAGTTAAGAGTGGAGAAGTCTATAGAAATTCCACTGCAACTGCTTTAAATTTACTAAATCTACATTTTGACATGTTATGAATACTGTAATTACCATTCTAGATCTATGTATGTAAATCTAGTATTCACTAAGTACTAAGTATTCTGTATGTGCACCCCCCCCCCCCCCCCCCCCCCACCCTAGAAAAACTGAAAAGTGTAGGATTGGAAGAAACCCTCACCCGGAATTGACTGTAGGCCGCAAGCCTACTACAAAAGTGTACTTTCCAGGGGCGGAACTACAGTGCCGCCAGACCCCGCAATGCGGGGGGGCCCAGACCGATTGGGGGCCCAAAAATCCTGGCTAAATTATTTAAAAATTTTTTTTTTTAAATTTAAATAAAAAAAATTAGGTGGATGTCGAGTTATCTTTGTTCTACAGTTACAAACAAACACGATAGTCGGCAAACGTCTATGAGAAAAATGCACAGACTATTGCTCGAGAGACCGCCAGACATATAGACAACTTCAAAGACGCAGCCTACCGTTCTTTTTTAGTGGTGTCGATTAGGAGAACAAAAAAGCTTTGAAAATTGGGCTGGGGAAATGTTGCGGCGACTATCCTGGTCTTCTAGACCAGGGGTCTCCAAACTTTTCAGCCCGAGGGCCGCATTAACTATCAAAAATCAGCTCGGGGGCCAGAGTTTTTTTCCAGTCATCTATGGGTTGGTAGAGCCCCCCCCCCCCCCCCTCGAAGAATATCTACTCCCCCCCCCCCCACGAAATATAGAAATATATAAAATATAGAAATATATACAAATATATAATACAAAGTGTCGCCGTCAACCCCAGCACTCGGAGGAAAAAAATCTGAAAGAAACACTTTCGGGGGCCTACAACACACTCGAGGTCCAAGTTATTTTCAAGAATGAAATACGTGAAGAACAATTTGAGAACAGTTTGTTCACACAGGTATGTTGTTCCGAAATTTGCAAGGTACTTTGATGCAAAAGTTTTAGGAAAGTCTTCCTTGGCCAAAAACGTATAAAAAGCCGCCCGTCTTTCTTTGAGCTAGTCTCTAAGGAGGTTGTTTGCTTGCAATTCAATGACCTCCAGCTGCAGTTCATCTGGGCAACTGGCCACATTTGCTTCAAATGGGCTTTGAAACAGTTTCGCTTCTTCTGCCTTTGAATCCAAGTCAGAAAACCGCTACTGGAACGGCAGCTGGGGTTTTTTGATGATCTTGCATGCAAATGACTTGGGGGGGGGGGGGGGGGGGGGCTGTTGCTTCAGCCATGAAGACCTTGCAGTGCTGCAAATGCGTCAAGTTGTTGGCCTGTACTTGTTCCAAAAACATGACAAGTTTGGATCTGAAGGCCTTTAGGTGGATGTATAAATCAGAATCTAGATTTCCCTCTCTTGTTTTTTTAGGTTCAGAAAATTTAAATGTCGTGTTATGTTTGCAGCATAGGCCAATTTCTATACTTTTCTTCAGACATTAATGGCAGTGGCTTGCTTTGTTTTCTAGAAAGTCACCTATTTCCCTTCTTAACTTAAATACTCTGCTCAGAACTTTCTAACAACTTAGCCATCTTACTGGTAAATCTTGCGATTCTGTGTTTGTATCTTTCAACATGTCTCTGAACTATATATGGTTGAGCCCATGTGAATATGTGACCTTTATAATTCACCATCTTCAACACATGATTCAGTACACTGCTTTTGTCCGCATATTAAGCACAAACAGCTTGCTGGTGGATAAATAATACAGTGCAGGAACATTGGTTGTAGAATGTTTTTCTCATTACACATCTGCTTCGCTTGTCCAACCAAACCTTTCTTTATGCCCTTCTTGTTTTTACCTCCAACAACAGCAAGGTAACAGGTTAGTCCGGACTAAGTTATACTCAGTGCTTCTTTTTCAACTCATTGAATATATCCTCTCCGGTAACAGTGTCATACATGCTATTTAAGGAAGCCAGCTCTTGTGTTATGTTCTTGTCTTCATACACACCCCTAATAAACACAAGCAGTTGAGAAGTGGAACAGCCGTCCAGCGACTCACCCATTGCAATTGAAAGATTGCGAAACTTGCTTGCATTTTTCGCTATTTAAGTCACAACGTTTTCACCAATGTCTGCAACACGGTGGGCAACGTTAGTTGCACCCAAAGCTATATTTTCAAATTGTTTTTAATTTTCTGGGCAAAGTTCCTCAGCCACCTCCAATAAACTTTTTTTCCGTGGATAAAAATATCTCCGCGGGCCGGATGAGAGGACCTCGCGGGCCGCATCCGGCCCGCGGGCCGTAGTTTGGAGACCCCTGTCTAGACGACCGGAAAAAGTCGGCACTATTGATGTAGATGTTCATCGGCGCTTTCTTGTCCCCTTCCCTTGAACCTTCCCAACTCGCTACCCTCCCCCTATCCCCCTAACCTCTACCCCTCACCACACCCTTACAGTAAGATGTAGTGCATACAGAGTTTCTTCCAGGCATCTCTTCGGGGGGGCAAAGCCCCCCCTAAAAATTTTTACCGCCCCCCCCCCCCCGAAAGAAATGAAATTTATATAATTTATATAGAAAATATATACTTTTAACAGTGTCCGCCCCCCCGAAGAAAGTTTACCGCCCCCCCCCCCCCCCCCCCCCCGAAGATTTCAAGTGCCCCCCCCGGAGAAAAAAGTCTGGAAGAAACACTGAGTGCATAGATTAACGAACCGTTTATGAACTACTGAACTGTAAACTGACCACTTCTGCACATTTTGTTAAAGACACTAGTCAGTAGTTGTTCATTTACCTGATGAAGTATTTCGTTGACGAATCTAATTCACACAACAAGAAGGTAAGACTCGTCTTTATATTATTAATCGTTTTATAATTAGTAAACGTGTTAATGGAAAATTAGTTATTAACACTAAATACTAAATACATTAAAGTTAAACAATTTTAGGATACAATGATCTAGCTTTTAAGCCTAAAAACAACCAAAAGATCTATACAGGGGCGGAACTACAGTGCCCCCAGACCCCGCAATGCGGGTGGGGGGGGGGGGGGCAGGCCGTTTAGGGGCCCACTGCTGACCATAATTAGTATTTTTTTTAAATTTTGAATTTAATTTTCGTGCATTTTTGCCTTGATATTTAGTTTGTAAAAGAAAAACACTGTAGCTGCGGTACGATTATCTTTATTTTACAGTCACTAT